GCACCTGGTGAATGGCCATGTAGGAGACCCGCCATGGGATGACAGCAGCCTTGGTTCGCGAGTTTTCGCGCAGCGGCGAGTTGTCCCCCGGCTCCTTGGTGATGAGCGTCTTACGCGGACTCACCATAAGGTCCAGCCAGTGCTTGTGGGCGGCCCTCTCCCCTTCCCTCTTGCCATTTGTCCTGTTCCTCTCCTCGTCAAGGGTGGCGAGTGTGTGGAAAGCCACGGCCTCCTTGAAGGCGGCCGACTGGCCGGCGCCGGTCAGCTCAATGCCCTCGTCATCGGGAACGCGCCCTAATGCCGGGATGGCTCTCTCGGCGTCCCACTTCTCCTGAAACACACACCACAGAGACGGCACACCATACCATAAAGGTGTCTCGTGTGTCGGGTGTGCACCACAGTGGCCGCATGGGGCACCTACCTTCTCGGCGTCATCAGGTGACTCCATGAAGGTCCAGTGGTTCCTGAAGCCCAGTGAGCCGGAGAGCGGGTGGAAGTGGATGAGTTTGTTGAGGATGGCCGGGAGGGGGTTGGGCCCCCACGCCCAGGGGTCCGAGGGGAAGATGAACTCATCCGTGTCGATCATCAACACGTACCTGTGGGATGGATGTGACACATACACCCACACAAACACACACAGAGAGAGAGGAGAGATGGCCGCTTGCTCTTGCCTCTCCGTGTGTGGCTCACTTGGAGTCGGAGTGTCTGAGCACGCAGTCATTGGTCTGTGCCTCCTGTGCGTAGTCCCAGACGGATTGGAATGGCTCCAGGCCGTGCTGCTGGAAGTTCCACGGCACCACCTCCAGCAGCCCCTCCTCCTTGTACACCCGTAACGCCTTTTTCACCGCAAAACTCACGGGAAAGGCGCTCTCGTAGAAGGAGAAGTAGTCCACACCCAACACTCTGCCACAGCCACAGCCACACAGACAGACAGACAGACAGCAGCTCATGCACGAGCTCGTGTGTGCGCGCGTCGCTCCTCCCCAGCCCTCTATCCATCACTTGTAGGTCTCGACAAACTCCATCAGCCGCACCACATGGTCAAAGACGCCCGTGTGGGGGTTCGGAGCCCCCCACCATGGCCGCACACACACCGTTAAGGTGCGTGCGTGCGTGCGGGGGTCAGCCAATTGCCTGACAGATAAGACAAGACGCAAGTACGCAGGAGGCAGGCAACACAGTTGATCGATCCATCGATCGGTGAGATGTGATCGATCCTCCCCTCCCACCTGACTCTCATCTTGACTTTCCTTGATCCCGTCCTGGCGCTCTTCCACAGGACGAACTCGGGCACGGCGTCACGCGGGGGCTCGAGGGCAAAGTCGGGCTGGGCGCTGGCGATACTGGACCAGCCGGAGTTCGGCTCTTCGGGGGGCGGGAACTCAGGACGGAAATCAGGATGCGGCGGCCTGACGTGACGCAATGGATGCCATCAACCATGAGGGAGGTCGTTGGGGTCAGTGCAGTGGGCGGTGCGGTGTGTTGCTTGCCTTGCTTCGCCCACCCAACCTACCGGCAAAAGAGGAATCTGAATCGATAGGTTCTGAAGGCGAAGTAGTGGACGCCCCGGGCGTTTTTGCCGAGCTGTTTGATGTCGACGGTGCCGGGGACGACCACCTGCTCCAGCCGCTTGTTCCGGTAGACGAGCTCGCAGCTGACGCCCGTGATATTCTTTCCGCTCTCGTACGGAGCTGCGGGTGACCGTTCCGCCTCGCCCGTCAACGCTATCGTACGCACCTGCACCACACACACACAGAGAGAGAGAGAGAGGGAGAGAGAGGGAGAGAGGGAGGTGAATAAGGCAAGACAGACAGATAAGCACCCCCTCCCACCCTGCCGGTGCGGTGCAGCCACCTGTTGCCTGTGGCCATCTCTGAGTTTTCGTGGGTCCCAGTAGGATGTCTTGAGTAGGCGGTGGTCATCCAGCCTTACCCAGTCCTCGTCAGAGGACATGCCGGCATGCACTGCAGGGGGGAATAGGGGGGGCACCGCCTTGGTGGAGTTGACCAGCAGCTTCAGCCACGCCGGCGGCACACGGGGGGGAGACGGGTGAGACAGTCCACCTTGATTGATGACCATGGGCACACACACACACAGAGGGAGGGAGGGAGAAGACAACAACACGTCACATCAGGCGTGCAGCCAGCCATTCTTCTCTCCACCATCCACCCCATGTATGTGGTCCATCAGACAGACACACACGACTCACTCACCAAAAAGGCCCGCATATTCAGCGGCAAGGAGGCCCAGCTTGCTGGTCGGCGCCTCCCATGTTGTGGGCACAAAGTCCATCGCCAGTTTCTGCGCGTCCAGCGTCAACCCATTCTCGCCCATCGACTGCCCGCCCTTGGACGCCGCACGCTGCCAACTTGGGAAGCCAGCGAACGTCCGGAGGATGACTATCACGGCGGCCGATAAGAGCACCAGGTGCTGCACACGTGCGCATGCCGACAGACACTTGGCGGCGCAAGAGGGAGGGCTGGAGGGGGGTTGGGGCTGGGGCTGGGCTGTGGTGGGCAGGGGGGTCCACTGGACTGCCATGGGGGTGGGAAGGGTCAAGCTGCACAGACACACAGACAGATGAGTGAGGGGCGGCGTGGTTGGTGCGTGGCTTCGTGTGATTGTGTTGTAGCTATGTGTTCCTGCCTCTGTGTGTGTGTCAATCAATAATCAGTCTGGCCCATTGTCGATCCATTCCGGCTGCCTCTCCTCGTCCCATCTTGCTTACCCTGTAGAAGCAGGCCGCTACGTTGACCTGTATATCGTTGCTCTGGACGACAAACACCGAATCAAGGCCTCGATGATGCGGAGAACCTTCTACACCGAGTCATCTCGGAGCTGAAGAGAACCTCGCCTTCGCCAGGATCTGACTGTCTGCGCATCTCTGAAGCCTCGCCTTCACCTTTCTCTGCTTCCTTCTCCTCTTTTCGACAATCAAACGCGAGCTTAGCTCGCAGACGAGAAGGAGAAATTCACAAAGCGCCAACGCTCAGCTATGTGTGGCCTGTCAATGAAGTGGAGCACAGCTCGACCGCGGCCTCATCCCCACTGCAGCCTCAGCCGGTGTATCTTCATCGGTGCAGCAGCGGCCCTGGCGATGGCGATGGCGATGCTCTCACCGCTCTCATCTGCTGCATTCGTCGCCCCTCTTGCGCGCACTCATATGCCTTGTTGTTCATCATCTGTGGCCTACGGCTGGCAGAAGAGACCAAGACGGCCAGTAGCGATGACTGCCGCCACGCCCGTTGCAGTCAGCACCGAGCGAGATGTGAACGTGGAGGACACGGGCACAGAGGCCATCCCTGACGGCATCTTCCGCACCCTCTACAAGTTCTCGCGGCCGCACACGATTCGGGGGACCATTCTGGCCTCTCTGGTGGGAGTGGTGAGGGCGGTGCTCGAGTACCCGAATGCGGTATCGTTCAGCCTGCTGCAGCGGGCCTTGATGGGTCTGCTAGGCCTGCTGTTGGGGAATGTGTTCATCGTGGGCATCAACCAGATCTATGACGTGGACATTGACAAGATCAACAAGCCCTTCCTGCCAGTGGCCAGCCAGGACCTCTCCCTCTTCTGGGCGTGGGTCATCGTCACGATCGCCGGATCGGCCGGTGGGCAACCGACACACACACATCTCTCTCTCTCTCTCTCCATCCATCCATCCAGGTCGTCTGTGTATGTTGTTGTCTGCCTACAGGTCCGGCTATTGTGAGCCACTGGTACCCCGGGCTGATCTTCAAGCTCTACGCCTTCGGGCTCACAGTCGGCGCCCTCTACAGCGTCCCTCCCTTCCAGTTCAAGAGGTTCCCCGTGGTCGCTGGCGCCACCATCGCTTGTGTGAGGGGCTTCCTGCTCAACTTCGGCGTCTACTACGCTGCCCGGCAGGCCCTGGGGCTGCCCTTCGCGTGGAACCCTCCTGTGATGTTCCTCGCCTCCTTCATGACGGTGTTTGCCGGCGTGATTGCCGTCACCAAGGACCTGCCGGACGTCCAGGGGGACAGGCAATACAACATCAGCACTTTCGCGACGCGGGTGGGCGTCGAGCGGGTGGCGCTGGCCGCCTCCTGCGTGCTGATGCTGGCCTACACCGGGGCCATCCTTGCGGCCGCCCTGACGCCATTTGGCACTTTTCGACGGTCGACGATGATCGGTGGACATGCAGTGATGATGGCGTTCGTGGTGCGGAACTTGATTGGTCTTGACCCGGGCAGCGTGGGGAGCGTGAAGCTGTTCTACAAGCGGATATGGGACCTCTTCTACGCTGAGTATGCCCTGTACCCTTTCATATGACGAGGGGGACGGGAGAGGTGGGCTGCCTGGAGGGATGATCTGGCTCCCTCTAGGGAGGGAGGGAGGGATGAGTGGATGTGTCACTCCTGTCTTGGTACGTGTGTGCTTCTGGGAGGCCATAGAGACAAAGAGACAGAGTGATGATGATCATGATGATGACCATGGTCGGTCGAGTGAGAGAAGGAATGTGATGACACTGTGTGCTGAGTGACGGACGTGGTTTCAAATGCATCATGGAAGATGGAAGATGGATGCTACATGCCGTACCATCGGGATTATATAATACCCTCATTAAACGCATCGACACGTCCATGCCATGCACCCCTGCAATGTCGATCGATCACATACATGTGCCCCCCACCCTGATGCACACACAGTGTAAACGTCTGCACGTGTCACACTGCGTGTGCGTAACACACCCATCATCCCTCTCTCTCCCCGGTTGTCAGCCTATTTGTCCGCGTGTCAAGTGTATTGGTGTGTGCAATGCACAAAAGTGCGGCAAGTGTGGGCGCACTCATTGCTGCCGGTCGGTCGGTCGGTGAAGCAAAGAGGCCACGGATGGGATGAATCGGGAGACAAGACGACAGACAGGCAGGCAAGGGCGGGCCGGCCAGACAGACGGAGAGGCGGGGAAGTGGGCAAAATCAAGTCACTCTGTGTGCGTCAGTCACCGGACACACACACACACCAACTTATGAAAGGCACCAACCATACCGGAACACCTATCAAGACACCCCTCACCCCACCACCGTCCCCCTGTCGATGACATCACTGTCGAGACCGAATGGCCGCAGCGCACGGCGAGCGGCACCAACCGAGACGGAGTAGTGGTCAGCGGGCGGCTGAGACCGATCGGCAGCAGGTACCTCGGTCGTGTACAGACTGATCGAGCCATTCAACACCACCAGATACGCCGCGACGGTCTCGCCCGGTCGGAGACCGCTCACAATCACATAGCGACCGTCCTCCGCATCAGCATGATTCAGATTGCCCTCATCGTAGCGCCAGTCGACAGCGATGCCCTGATCCTCTGTGATGCTGTCGGCCATCAGACGGCCATAGCGTTGGTCACCACGGCCGATGTTGGCCTAAAGCACCCTCCTCTTGGCCACCCCCTCTCCAGTCGACCACCAGACGAGCAGCCTGTGCAGCAGGAGTGCCGAGAATGAGAGGAAGAGGTAACTGGCCCGGCGGATGACGGGGTCAGTCCGCTTGTAGCCGTCAGCATAGGGATGGCCGCCCGGCAGCTCGCCCAACGGCACCACACGAAACGACTCCAAATTGCCGATCCGATAGCTCCCGTTGTCGGCTTGCTGCAGCGCCAGGCTGTGTGTGTTGTATGTGAGCAGGTGGCCGAATAGCCGATAGATGGCCATCGCCAATGACAGCTGGTGGAATGCCGTCCTGCTGGGAAGGTGGGCTGTCAGCCACTGAGCCGACAGCACCAGGGGCAGCCCATTGGCAGGCGTCAGCCGATGGATGGCGGCCAGCCGGATGAACCGCCCCATCGCACGCCACTCGTTGCTGCCCTGCTCCAGCACATAGGCCGCCCGCAGCACATAGGTGAATGGGAGAGGGGCGGTGCGGTCGATATCGATGAGGCCGGTGAGGGAGTGGCGGGCGAGGGAGCCGTCGATGCGCTCCACCAGCAGAGCGGCGGTTACGAGAGCCGCCTTCGCCCGGCAGGTCGCTCGGACACAGACCGCCTCATGGACGAGAAGGGACGGCAGAATGCGCCTCCGCCACAGGTCGTCGGGCACCGAATCAGACATCGTCACGACTCACTCAGTCAACGCATGACGACCACCGCCACTGATGGTCACAGCGGCCGAATGAGCAGCAGCGTGGCGTGACGTGTGAGAGATCTGCATCCACACAAACATACAAAGCAGCAGCTGCTGCTCGAAGCGTACCCAAGATTCCCTTCCCTTCCCTCTGTTCCCTCACCTCCTTTGAGACTCAATGAGCGGAAGTCGATGATGATGAAGCCGCTCAAACGCGCCTGAGAATAGAAGAACGGGAAGAACACACTTGGAACACACAGAGCGGCAAATGAATCGAAAGCTCTCGCATCCATCGCCATCTGTGTCAACTTATGTGCCGTCCGTACCAGCTCAGATCGGCCCGATGGCTCCCCGAGCGATGAGATGTGCGAGGAGGCGTCGAGATGGCACCACGTGCTGCGGTGAGAATGGCTGGCAAATACGCTTCAGGGAAGGAGGTTGAGCAGATGCGCGAAACCGTTTTCGCTCGGTTGCATGCAGGACGACGTGGCCCCCGCCAGCCCCACGAAGATTCCAAGTGGCGGTTTCCTACAGATCCTTTCGCTATGCATCATCTTCTAAGGGCATCGATGGCATGTGGCGGGCGATGTCGAGCCCGTTTGTCTCAGATTGTCCCTGACGCGCAGTGCAGATGAGACGCCTCATCGCGCCTTTCAGTACGCAGCAATCCGGCCGTGCATATGAGGCCAGCCCTCTCTTGGTCATTCTCTGTTCCTGCAGGCCACGGCGGCATTGTTCTGCCTGCGGCCTTTGTGGCGGTCCTTCTCCTTTCCCTGGCCAGTGCAGCTGTCCCTCTGCTGGTGTCTGTGTCGTACGTCAAGAGCCCCAGTGACGCCAGCAGGTCCATACTCGCGCCGGAGATCGACATGGAATTCGACGCCAACATACAATTAGGCACTGGGTACACCCGATGGATGCGAGATGAAGAGAGGGAGTTCTTGTCTGTCTGTCTGTCTGTCTGTTTGCGTCATGCGTGGCGTCTATGCAGGTCGATACGGTTTGAGGCGGCAGGCGGCCAGGTGGCCTACACAATCGATGTCACGTCGCCCACAGCCGAGCAATTCCAAGTCAGTGACATAAAAGGGAAAGACGTGTCGACCATGTCCTGTTCTGCGTATGCATCCTCTCAGGTGCCGCCCCCGACCGGGGCTGTGTTGAAGATCCGTGTGGCGGCGCCGCTGCAGGCCTTTACAACCTACACACTTGTGCTGGATGGCAACCTGGTGGTCGACGCTGCTGCAACAGCTGACGCCTACGTCAACAATCCCAGCGGAGAGCTCACCTTCGACACTGCCGGTCAGGATATGGACCACCAGCAGTGATGTTTGTGTGGACATGCGTGTGTTGTGGTGCCGTGCAGGCCCGCCATCAGTATTTGGCTTTGACTTCTCTCCTGCCGACGTGCGTGAGTTCGTTGAGGGGCGGGAGTATTCCGTGACGGTGCAGGGGTCAGACCTCAACGCAACCACTGACAGGCTCATTGTGCAAGACGCTGACGTGAGCGCCAGAGACACATCGAAAAGAGAGACACACACACAGAAGAGAATATGTGTGTGCACTTGGGTCAGAGGGAATGCGGCGATGCGAGTGCGAGTCTCGTGACGGGCATGACCCCAGGCTCAGTGGCCGATTTCGCGTCGATCGGCTGGGTGGACGTGTCCACGCCCCTCCAAAACCTCACTGGACAAAACGAATACCAAGTCTTCAACACATCGTAAGTTTCGGAGGCAGACACAAGGTGGTCTGGTGAGGATCTCGTATGCCTGGGCTGTGTTTGGTATGCAGGAGCCCACTGAGCTTCACGGCCCTCCATCTGTCTGACCGGAGAGTCCGGGCGTGTGTGTGCTCACGGCACGTCGTCAGCCGGTGCGACGTCAGCATTCGTCAGTACACGGTGGAAGTACTGCAGGGCAACGGCCTCATCACACTCAGAGGTGAGTCAAGACCTAGACACCCTCATCCACGCCAACACGAGGCCTCCTGTCCTGTCAGGCATTCCTACTGTCACTGCGCCGCTCTCTCGGACGTTGATGTCTGGGGAAATCCACAGTGCCACGATGAGGACAGACCTGTGGTCATCGAGCGTCTTCAACCTCACCATGCTCGCTCAGATGCGCATCATGCCGTCGTCCGTCAATTGTGGCGACCCCGACTCACACCTGCAGAGACCTGATCTCGTCAACAGACCCCGCCCGCTCATGGTCAGCTGGCAAATACACACAGCCACTGATGCGCCTCAAGCAATGGATCGGACTGTGTCTCTCTGTCTTTCTTTTTTCTCTGCCGCAGTACCCATCGTATTTGGAGCACGACTCGGTGGCCAATGTGACGTCCATAGTGTGGGAGGACGTCGCGGTGCAGGGGTACGGCTCCTTCAGGGTGTGCATCTGCCCCAACAATCTCGACGGCTGCAACGAGGGGCAGGACTTCACCACACAAGTCGCTGACATCACACTGGAAGGTCGCTGAAATGAGACACGACAGCAGAATGAACGGCCCTTTGTGTCTCTTGTGTGTGGTTGTGCTGTCCGCTACGCCAGGCCCCGCACTTGGCGCGGCTGAGTGGCGGTGTGTGTTAGGCCTCATCTGTCGCGTGCAGATCACAGGCAATCCTCCCAGTGCACTCAATGGCACTCGCCTGGTCACGCGGCCCATCGAGGAGGCATGCGGCGACACTGAGCGAGAGTCCATGAGACACAGGGGCTTCCCTGATGATGGTCAGCCACCAACACGCACAAATTCTCCCTCACCTGCTGTGTTTGCGGGCATTGCATCGGTGTCAGGTCTGAGCGCTCCAAGTGAGGGCGGCAGCGGCGGTCTGTTTTTGGTGGACTCGCGGCCCCTTTCGCAGTCGGTTGTGACGGGCCAGTACCGTCTCTGCTGGTGCGGCAACACACAGTGCCACGCGTCAAATATCATCCTTCCCGACCTATACAGTGTCGATGTCGGCAACCTCACCATCGACGGTATACAACCATTGCAATCACCATCTTCCTTACCTTTTGGCATGTTTTGGCAGGTGTGCCGTCTCAGGGAGTGGTCTTGTGTTGGCTGGGCATCACTGCGTCGGGCGTGGGGTCGAGCGCGTATGACGTTGACGCGGTGGACAAGTGCTGGTTGCATGTGGGGGGTCGCGGTCTGCAGGTGGAGGACCGACTGAAGCTGGCGGACCTCAGCGACGAGGTGCTCATACACACAAAGTATGCGTGCATGCACGCACTCCACTCCGAGGCAGAAAGACAGACACACAGACGGACAGACAAACAGACATCAGGACAGGTCGCTCGACAGACGTGACCACACACACACACACGAAGCTGCTCATCTCACAGATGAATGTGGTGTGTGTGGTTGTCTTGTGTGTTGTCAGTGCGCCTCCCCATCGACCCCTGCGGGGTTGCCGGCCGGCGAGGCCTTCCAGACCCCATTGGCAGTGGCCGTCAACGCGACCACGGGGACTGCCACAGCTGCGTTTGACATTGACATAGGCGGTACCGTACGTGGGCGGGCGTACGGTTCACGAATACACAACTATGGTTTGTCTCTCTCTGTGCAGACCTCCCCTTGTTGGCTTTTCGATCAACACCCGACATTGGCTTCGTCTACACGCAGCCTGGCTACTCGTTGGGCAGCATGGATGGCTGGCCACAAGCACTCACGCTCGAAGACGCCAAGAACGTGACGAAGGCGGTGTATGCCGCCACACTGACCAGCACGTCGACAATCGAGCCGCGGGGCTGCGCCGCGGCATGCTTGCGGCGGTTCTGGTGCAGGTGCGTCGGAAGGCCAAAGAGACAGGGACGAGCATTTGCATGAATGAGAGTGTGTGTGTCTCTCTGGGTGTTATGTGTGGCAGGTCATTCGACCTGTATGCTGCTGGCGCCGCGTCGCGCCGGTGTGTCTTGTACAGCCTCGACATGGCACAACTCGTCTCGACCTCAAACGCCACACTCACCTTTTCCCCTCCCGGGCCTCCAGAAACCGTGACTCATTACGACATCATCAGTGAGGATACCTGAGGACCATTCGCTGTAGTGTCTCATCCATGTGTCGCCTGCCATTGTGTTTGTTCAGGCAGGAGCCAGGCCATCACCGGATTCAAAGTGGGCAAAACGATGATGAGCAGCAGCCTGAGTGCGTGGTTGTGATGCCTGTATGTCTGTGTCTCCTTCTCAGGTGCGTTATTGCCAGGCGACCGAGTAAGGCACACTGCCGGTGCTGGACCCTGTCAATTGCTCCGCTGCGTCGCAGTACACTCAGACCATCGGCAACCTCATACTCAGCGGTGTGTAGACATGCAGCCACAGACCACCCCACCCACAGCCAGACACAGACGACCGTCCGGCAAGGCAACACTTGTGTGTATGTGTTGTGGGCACGGGCAGTATATGACAGGAGTCCTGTCAACCAGTGGGATTGCGGGGTGGATTCTGTCGATGGGTGCGACCTCACCGTCACCGGAGGGGCGGTCGAGATAAGCGCCATGCTCAACACCAAGGTGCGGACGTCAATAAACGTTCCTTCTCTCTCGCTCACACCAATCTGTTGTGCTTTCTTTCTCGCCAGTTCGGTGATCCCGACCTCGGGTGCGGCCCGTCATCTGTGCTGACGGACCCTTCTCTCTTCTTTGACAGGCCCACGCCGTCCGTGGTGAACCCCTTGGGCCACGAGGTGCTGTTGGTGGGCAGTGCTATCGGTCTCAGTGTGCTCGACGTCGACTACGGCATGCCGACCAAGCCGGGGCGGTTCCTCATCTGCGCGCCTTATGGCAGCACGGATGATCCGGCGTTGCCGGACTACCGCGAAGTCGGACTGATATCCTTAGTGGGTGAGAAAGATGGGATGGGCCATGACCATCACAGAAGATGATACATGTGTCCTCTTGCTTCTTTCCTTCTCTCTCTCCGTCCAGGTGCGAATTCATCCGCTCTCTTCGTCCATCCAGCAGGCCCCGCCCCACTGCTCCTCTCAATTATCGGCGTCGGCTTCACCGAGACATACAGACTGTCAGCCTTGCCGCCCGACCCACCCACCACGATTCCTTCGACAGCAGACGAGATCGCCGAGTGTGGCTCGGCACAATGGGCTGCAGCCGGGTCTCTGGCCGGAAAAGTCGCCGAAGCGAATGTCAGTGCCGACGGGCGGAATGCGACATTTGGCTTTGGCGTTGTGACCTCGCCGGGCATCTATCAGGTTTGTGTGGGTGGGGGCGAGCAGAAGAGTCTGTGTGTCTGCCCCGGGTTCCTGTCCCTGTCAGCTGTGTCTCTGCGACGAGGATGACTGCGACGATCCTTCGTCTTTCACTCATCCCGCTGGACTGCTGGTGGTGCAAGGTAGGTCAGCAAGAGGACGAGAGGACAATGCCGGCCAGTTTAGGTCGCTCTTTTGTCGGTGCTGCGGTCAGGCGCACGAGAGCATGGCAACTACACGTGTGCTATCGACAGCAACTGCACAGTGGCCATCGAGGGGTGGCACCTGAACCAAAGCGACTCACTCGCCATTTTCGAAGCAGACGCCAATGCCACCTCGCAGTGCGGTGATCCCGACCTGCAGCCATCCACCGTGCTGTCACGTAAGCATGAGACACTCACTTCACAAGACTGTGCAGCGAAATCACACCCCATTTCTGCTTTCCAGCCTCTAACATCGATCAACCGAGCCCTTCCCCCCACCCCTTGGACACATCACGCGCCATCTTTGACATGGGCGAGATCAGCGACTCGGGGAGCTACCTGCTCTGCTACTGCACACACGCGGCCAGCGGATGCGATGCATCATCAGAGTCGCACATCATCAGCGCGGGGCGTCTCTCGGTGGCCCAGCCGCAGGGCAGCCGTCAGTGGTGGGTGGAGGCCGGGCAGAACATGACCATTGGTGTGGAGGGGGCGTACCTCAGCAATCAGGACAGACTGGCCATCCTCGAGGACTCGGCTGGATGCGGCAAATCGGTCGGGTGGAAAGACGGAGACAGTGATGCGCCTTTCATTCACCACATTCTTCTTTCTGTGAATTCAGGCGTACTCCCCGATGGTAGCTGCGTCTCAGCCTTTAAGCCCCTCCACGGGCTTCAACCTCTACACCAACGACTCTCTGCTGCTCTTCCCCATCCCGGCTTTCGTCACTACCGGTCGTGGGCTCGTGTGCTGGGGCCACATGTCGGGCGCCTGGGTGCCGGTGGGGTATGTGCACGTGGAGAGTGAGGGCGGGGCCGTGTGCGGGGATGGAATCACCATGTGCCCTGACGAGGAATGCGACGACGGACGGGTGAGTCATTGAGGGGGGGAGAGAAAGACGTGGATGTCTGCACGCCAACAGTGACGTTTTTCTGTGTCTTTTGCGTGTGTGTGCCGTCAGAACGATGGAGGCGAAAGATGCAGGTGGGGAAGAGACAGACGTGCAATGAACATGGGGCGTGTTTACCTGATGTGTGTGTGTGTGTGTGCATGCAGTGCCTTTTGCAAGATCGAAGATAGCTGGGAGGTACTGCCCACCACATGGACCTCCGAAGTCAACGCCGAGGCCCTCATGGCACTGGGCGGCGACGCCCTGTATAGCGTGGGCCTCGGGTATCACATGAGGCCTGTCTGTGGGGACGGCACATGCGTCCGAAGTGAACAGTGTACGCAACGACACACAGGGAGAGAATCAGGGAAGACTCTGCTCCGTTTTTGTGTCTCGGGGTGTGCAGGTGACGATGGCAACACAGTGGATGGCGACGGGTGCTCGGCTCGGTGTCACATCGAGACGGGATACCTGTGTGGCTCCACCGGTGGAGTGTCCAGATGCGCGTCGCTGTGTGGGGACGCTGTCGTAGCTGCACGCGAGACATGTGTGAATGCATCTACACGCACTACGTTTACCTCTCTCTATCTCACTTCTTTCCGCTTGTCAATCGTATCAGGTGATGACGGCAACCGCTTCTCACATGACGGCTGCTCAGCCACGTGCGACACCGAGCCCAACTGGAGCTGCTCGCCCCATGCACCGCTTTCTGAAGACCGCATCCCAGTCCCGGCTGTTTGTGTGCCCAACTGCTCATCTGTCGGTGCCAACGACACGGCTGTCATCTGCCCCGCCACACCCCCACCTCCACCAGCAGCCACTCTGGCCTGGTATTCGTGTGATGGAGATGCTTCCGATGGTCCCTCGGTGGTGGCCGCCAGTGGCTGTGCTGACCTAGATGCGCCGCACTTGTGTGTTCCTGTGCTGGACCCTGCCCCTGTCGCTGCTGAGTGGGACGCCGCTTATCGTCTATTTACCGTCACCTTCGATAAGCTCCTGCAGCTGCCGTCGAGCGCAAATGCTGCGGACATGGGCACATGTCCCCTCGATCTCACCAACACGGCCGCCGTCTGTGTGTGGAGAGATCAAGTGACGGCAGAGGTGCTGGGTGGACCCAAAATGCAGCACTTTTTCCCTCTCATGGTGGGCGACAACAACACGCCTGTCACCCCACCCGTCAGCGATTCCTTCGTCCCCCTGGATCTGCAAGTTGATTTTCCCCCTCTCGTCGGCTGCAACAACCGTGTCTGGTTCACACTCCGCAACGTTTCAGCACCCGCCTGGCCGTGGGCGCACATCCACTGGACCGCCCTGCACTTCACTGCCGTGACGGAGGATGGCGGCCATCTGGCGATCAGCCATGCCATGATGTACGTGCAGCTGCTGCGTGTGCAGACCGTCCTCAACGCATTCGTCGGCAAGACGGGCGTGTCTCTGGCCACGACGGACTTGATGCCTCTGTTCTTCGGCCTTGATGAGATCAATCGCACCAGCAGCATCGTGTATGCGTTTCGTGTGGAGGTGTCGGTCGCCGTGTCTGGCGAGAAAGGGAGCACCGACTTTGAAGTGACGTTGCTGCCAAGGACGGTGCTGCCTAAATTCAAAGCCTCTCGCCCAGCCACCAAGTGAGAATGACAGCGTTCTCGTGTCTCGTGTCTCGTGTCTCGTGTCTCGTGTCTCTGTCCGTATGTGTCTGTGTGTGGGAGTCTAGGAGGTGTTCGAGAGCAGCGGCATAAACCTGCGTGTCGAGTTGATGCCTTCCCAGCAATACCACCACCTGGACCCGGCGGAAGAGGCCTGGTGGATGAACTCGGTCCCCTTCCCGTGTCTCACCACCACAGACACACGCGTGGCAATGCCCAACGACACACAATGGACCGCACATCGATACCAAGGTGCCACTCACAAAGATACACACGAGACACGAACAAGTATCCCATGTAATGGGCAGTTCTTCTTGGTGGCGAGGTCTCCCTGACACCCGTCAATTTGACATTCCCAGCATCCCCCCTGCTGCAGCAGCACATCGCCATCCCTCCTGCCTCGCTCCCGCCGGGCCTGTACATGTACATCAATGTCTCCGTCACACAGCGTTTCTACCGTGTTCCCAAGAGGAAAGAGGTCGACCCAGTGCTTCCAGTAGTCAGTCCACCAGCTGACAGGGGGCGAGACAAACCAATATATGACATCAATGCAACGACGACAGAGGAGCCCCCTGAGGACGAGAACGCGATGACGACCACTGGTGCTCCAGACGAGGAGGGGAGACAACTGCAGACCGTGGAAGCTGTCACGGGTGGTGCTGGTGGTGAGGCGTCATCTCTGCTGTGGGGGCTGGGAGATCTGGTGGAGGAGGATGAGGCCCTGACGGATGAACCCATATTGGGAAGGGCTGAAGTGACCTTTACAGGTACATAAGCAGCCGGCAGCACTCGCACCTCTCTCTGATACGCGTCGTTCACATGCGTGTCTCAGTCCGAATCGTTGAGAACGGCCTCAAGAATCGGGTTGAAATCGGGGCGCCAATGCATATCGGTCCCGAATGTCCCCTCGTTGTGCACATTGCAACGCAGCACCCCATCCCCCAATCGGCCGTCCACAACGACACCAGGTTCGCCGAACGCAATACACCTTCACCTGCTCATCCATCCGTTTTTGCGACTTCAGGCTGGTCGTGTCGTGTCGGTTTCTGCCTCTCACACGGCTGCCTTTCTTGGTGTCTGACGACCCACCGTGGCCCCAGCCAGCCCCCGAAAACCTCTTTATCAGCCTGCAGATATACGCTCAGAACTGCACGGACATGCTGACGCGAGCTGATGAGACAAACACCGACCCTGTCGAGGAGACGTGGTGGAAGATCGACAAGCCGGTAACGCCACTTCCGAAGGTTGTCTCTTTTTCACATTGTTTGTGGCCTTCATGTCTCAGCCGGCGGGATGGATTGAGGTAAAGGCATCCATCGAGATGGCGAGCCTCGCTCACGCTCACCCCGTTATCGATCCATCGACCGCCTACACATTTGTCAACGATTCCGGCCTCTCCAGCAATGCCTTTCTGTTGCCACCGCGGCCTCTTGCAAAAGCCCCTGTCAACGCGAGTGCCCCTGCTGACCTTCCTTCTTCGCTTCACGTGGACGTGCCGACCGTCTCGCATATCGTTGTCAACGACACAGACGACGAGCCGCCGTTGGTCGAGCCACAACAAGACGGCTCCTTTTCTGCCGTTCAAGGACAGCCATGTCACAGAACCCGACTGCGGGAGCCGCAATGCACCATCGTCGACCCTCTGGCGGAGACAGAGATCGGCCTGGCTGTCCCGACCGATGAATCGCTTGCTTGTCCATTGGTCTCATCAGCAGCGCCGAGGGTGCTGTTAACGGCGCCTCTCGACCCATCCTTTGGGCGAGACGTGTCGCTGACACCGAGCCAAGAGAGCAGGAAAGGGATCGATAGCTATGCTGTGGAATTCCGACAAAGTGACCTGACGAGCAGGTGGGAGATGCCGTATCGGCTGCGGTTGCATGAAGGACATTCGATAGGCGAGATGGTCCCAAACCTGCCGCCTGTGAATGGCCGCATCGACGTCACCCTCACTGACGGTCGGTCAAGGAGACAGAGCAAATAAGCAACATGGTCGGTCGCATACCTCTTTCTTCCGTGAGTGCAGGGCCAGCGTACAGCTTCCTGAGTGTGTTTGAGATCACCCACACGGGCTGGATCGACCCCGAAATGCCCAATGACATCGGAAGCCCCCTGTCCTTCTCCTTCTACACGTGCATCCTCTCCACTTCGCCCGACTTTGTCACCGTGGCCCGCCAGCTGCCCCTACACCACACAGAATACGTCTCATCCCCAACCATACTCGCCCGTCTGCCGGCCGGCTCGGTGACCGACCGGCCCACTGACCGGTCGTGGGTGATGGTTTGGGGGAGGGCGAGGGACGTCTTTGGCGCCGTGTCGGAGGCTGCTGTGTTGGAGGCCATTAATGTGGGCCTCACGACCGGCGAGCGGGGGATGAATGCCACCGATCGGGCCATGAGGGGTCGGTGGCTGAGAGAGGCACCGTGCATGTGGCAGAGAGAGAAGAGTGCGTGGCTGTGAATGTGTGTGCGTTCAGATTTGCGAGTGGTGTCTGACATGAGTCACACGGGCCAGCTTCTGGCAGGTGTGACGGCAACGGTACGAGCGACGACGTCAGGAGACATCCCGTATTCGCCGCGAATGGTCAACGACACACTGCAGACCCTGCGCACCATACAGGTAGCCATTCATTCCCACACGAAAGACGCGATGAGTTTGGCGACTGTTGGTCAGGCGCGTGTTGGCTGCGCCCCTGTGGACTGGTCTCGGGCACAAACGGCCCAAGTGACCGAGCTGCTCAGCCACGATCTATTCCAAGCCACAGCCGCGACACACGCGGCGTCGCTCATCCTAGACATCCTCCGGCACACCGTCCACTGCACGTCCTTTGCGGATATCCCCCTGTCTTTTGTCGATATGCTCGGCGAGGCGCTGGGAGGGATGGCAGATCTCGCGGCGCGGCTGACCTATCCGGGAGAGCCACCAGTGGACGAGGAAAACCCATACGAACAGACTCCTGCAGACCCGGAAGCGGCGGCCATATTGGTCAGCACTTTCGAGGAAAAATATGTGTTTTGTTAAGGTGTGCGCAAAGCGCGTCTCTTGCAGGCGTCGGTATTGTCAGTCCAGAGGATCTTTGCCAACAAGTCGCTGGAGCTGCTGACGCCTGACGGGCCACCAATGACACTGGTAACCTCTGCACACGCTCCCGGCAGATGCATTTCTCTCTCTCTCTCTCTCTCTTGCCGGTGTCTTAACAGCTTGCCAATCCGCTGGTGACGATGCGCGTTCAAATGTCTTCTGTCCGAACGATGACAGACCCCTTGGCCAACGACACCGACCTTCAGTCCCTGCCCATGGCTTACCGCCGCGTCCCCGCCCGGCCTCCATGCACCCTTTCCACAGTGCCATGGATGGGCGGCAGCCTCCTCATGACGCTGAGCACCCACGACAGCCCCAGTAGCTGCAGCCATGGGCTAGTCTTGCCAAGATACGAGCTGTACGAGGCGTTCCGTGAGTCGTCCTCGGTGACGCTGGACAACGAGACGGTCGGCAACGTGTCCCTGGTGGCGGAGCGCTGGCGGGACGACCCGGGAGGTGGCGGCGTGTCCTCGTCTCCGTCTGTTCGGATGCTCCGAGACAACGCCAGCGGCTACATGCCTGAAACAGACCTGCCAACGACCAGCCGCCTCTCCGAGCTCGTCTTCCTTACTGCACACCTGCCCTCCGGCGCACCCCTGCCGGTCACCGACATGTCTTTGCCATTGCTGGTCTGGCTGCCCACGTCCAAGCCGGTGTCTCAGGGGCTGATGGACAGTCGGCAGAGTGTCGCATGTCGGTCGCGGGAGGGAGCCGATGACGAATGGAGTGAGCGGGGGTGCCGGGCAGTGCAGGTGAGGAGCGATGGCGTCACATGCGCATGCACAAGGCTCGCACAGCACGCGGCCTTCCCCCCATCACAGCTGCATCCGAGGAAGGCCGCACCCGTGTGAGTAACCAGCAGGAAGAAAAAAGACAGAAAGTGGGAAACAAAGTGGTACTTCTGCGTCTGTGTGTACACGTCTGCGCAGGATGGCGCTAGAGCCTGACGAAGTGAAGCTTCAGACCCCCTGGGTGCCCGCTTTCGTCATCTTCATGCTGCTGGTCCTGCTGATCGCCCTGGCCGTCCTCGCCCGACGCCGCGACCTCAGCGCTTATCCCTACCTAGGGGACCTCTCCCTCATATTCATCAAAACCCATCTAGAGCGGACGCCTCTCATCGGTCGGCTCAGCCGGGAGCGCATGCGTGCCAAGCCGACAGGCACGATCAGCGGCCGTGTGTGGGGCGAGGACTACCAGGCTGAGGGGGTGCTCACGGGGCGCCGGGCGAGGAAGCGGAAATCGGCTAGGGAGCAGTTTTCCAGCGCAATTGAGGCAGAGGCCAAGGACCTGCTCATGGGCATCGTCAAAGAGACGGAGGCCTTCGAGCAAGATGCTGGCGTGTGGTTTGGTGAGACAACCTGACCTCACACAGAGACACATGTCTCTACAGACGATGATACCCTCTTCGCATTTCAGGTTGGTGTCGCCTCTCGGCAGTGATCGACGCCCTTCCCATCCTGCAGAACCCCGCACTGCAGCGACGCTTCACGTGCCGCAGGCTGGGCATCCTCCTCAGCCCGACCGATCCAGTGGGGTGGCTTGACCTCCCGGAGATGCTGGATGAGGCCTCCCATGTGGTCGAGCAGAACCGCAAGTTCCTGCTGCCTGTCTACAGCCCCCCAAATGGTCTCCTCCCTGTGCAGACACTGCTCCTCGTGTGAGCGGAGCGAACAAAGAGACGCGAAAGTGTGTTGGTGTGCCATTTTCTTGTCTCTCTAGTTTCTTCCGCGTGTTGGCGGAGCACGTTGAGGATGAGATATGGGAGGATCTGATTCCCCCCATGGAGTCCCAATTGTGGGGCCTCACCTTCGCCGAGGTGCGGCGGCGGGTCGTCATGCAGGTCTTCCACCGCCGGCTGGACCAGGCCTCACAAGTCATTCAGAAATACTGGACCGCCAGGAAGTAAGCCAGAACAATCTGCCAATCTCGCCATTTCATTTTTGCGTGTCTCCACCTTCAGGCACCAGAAGGTCGATGAGGAACGCCGGCGCCCAATCGTCAGCCTCTTGGCTGGCGACCTCCCCTCCCCTTCCCTCCGATTCGCTGACCTCTCGCGCGCCCCGCCATCGCGGCCCCCCGAGGTGGAGCACGAGGCAGAGCTGGCGATGCTCCGACAGGCAGTCATGGCCCCAGAGCCACCGCCACCACCGCCGAGGCCCGGCGAGTTCCTCCCTTCTGCCATGCTGCCGGCCTTCGCAGGTGAGGAGCCGTTTGGTGATGAGGAGGAAGAGGAGGTGAGTGAGCTGTCCGAGCAGCCGCCAGAGCACCCGCTCATAACGTTTCGCACATCCGAGGTGGGCGAGCTCGACTTGATGGAGGAGGGCTCAGAGGGGGCTGCAGGGGTGTTCGCAGAACCGTCAGCGCTTGACGTCAAGGGCACTGGGAAGAAATCGCCCACGAGACGGCGGGAGGTGGTCAGCGAGGAGGAGGGGGTGGACCGGCTCATGAGAGACACAATGCTGGTGCTCAGAGAAGCGAGAAAAGCTGCAGGCTATCGACAGAGAAGGGTATCCATCGGCATCGCCCCAGAACAGCCGAGGACAGAAGATGAATACTTCGGCGGCATAAAGACGGATGTCTTTGAAGCCATGCTGGAGGCCCCGCTGCGGCCGGAGAGCGAAGAGGGCGGGGAAGAGGAGACGTCAGAGGAAGCCACCGCACACACAGCTGAAGAGTCAGAGGTCTCCGAGCAAGACAAATGGCGACTTGCAGCCTACCAAGAGTCCACTCGGGTGATAGCGCCCCGGGAAGCGGCCTGGATGGGCCAGAGGTACCCTGTCGTCATTGAAGTGCAGCTGTCGACCGACCCGCGCCTGGCCGGAGAAGCGACGCCCAGCCCGTCAATGAGACGAGGGATGGTGTTGCAGCCACGGCGGGACGAGAAGATGTCTGAGGCAGAAGAGGAGGCCGAAATGCCGCCGCCTGTCGCCCCTGAGGACCTGACGCCCTTCCTTTTCTCAGTGCAAGCCGACCAGAAAGGGCTCGACTTCCGGCTGTCCGCTGTCGATAATGACGATGGCGCAGGCGCGCCCACGACCGTCCTGCGGAGCACCCGCAGCAGACACGACGTGGAGATGGAAGTCAGCGCTCAAAAAGACAGAGACACGCAGCGCCCTCGGGGCCCTTCGCGCGCAACAGGCGTGACTCGGTGATGCACGCGGCCAGCAGGATGGCATCGGTGCTCGACGCTCGGCTGGACAGAAGAAGCCGCGACTACCAGGTGCCGTCGGCGCTGCCCGAGGAGGCCGAGCTCGTAAGCAGCCTTCAGTGGACGGACGTTGTGGCTGCCGACTTGGTTGACGGCAGCGACCCGATGCTGCCCTGTTTGCCGGGCGAGGAGGGGCGGAGAGTCGTCCTCAAGTGCAGAAGGCGCGAGACAGTCGGGCCGCAGCCATTTTTCACTGTAAAGGTGACTTTACCGTGCAGACCATATGCACACACACTTGTCCTGTCTGTCCCGTATGCATGTGTTCGCTCTTCGGCTCAGATACTGTTCCACACGACAGGCGAGGCCGCGCAGTTTGTCAACATTGCCACTCAGCGCCGCCGCGCGACACTCTTCCAGCGGCCGGCCGCCCCACCCCTACCACAACGGACCGAAGAAGCACCCGAAGAGGCTGCGAAACCTGAGCTGATCGACGTCCTCGAGGCCCTCGTGTCGCCGCTGAATGGAATCGAGCCTGCAAGGAGAAGAAGGTGTGGCTCAATGGCATGCATCATGATGACCACTAACTAGAATGAGGACAATCCATTCTCCACCATTGGTTGTGTGTTGCAGAGAGGCAGGGGTTTCAGGTGGTCGCGACTTGGCATTTGCGGCCGCCCGCGCCATGCGTCAGCAGAGGTCTCAGCGGGAGGAGAGCACCATCCAGGACGAAGAAATGGAGCGCGCCCTGGCCTTCTTCGAGCAGGGCGGGGAGGGCTGGAAGACCGGCTACCGCCCTGAGGACGCCGCGTGGATCGAGGGCATCCGCGATCGGGCCGACGACCCCATCCGCCATATATTCGAGCGGTATGTCATCCTGTTCCGCATGGAGGACGATGTCATCTCCAAGCGAGTGCTCTACCGCGAACACCCTCTCACCGGCATGTGGCTGCGCAACCCCTACCTGTCGACCGTGGAGCAGGTGCTGCTGCTGAGCGTGCGGCTGGTGTGTCCGATGCTGTGGTCTTCCCTGTTTGTGCTCATGCTGCCGCGATGGCTGGTGCCGGGGTCAGGTTTGGGGCTCATCAGCACGGCTGCATGGGTATGTATGGCCAGTCAGCCAAAGAAAGAAAAAGGAGGAAATTGGAGATGGGATGGTCGTGTCTCTCGCTCCGTCTTATGTCTGTCTCATGTGTGTAGGTGGTCCCCCTGTCGATCATTCTGTCCCTGCCGGTGATGAGACATCTCGACGCCGGCTGCTTTCGCAAAGAAACTCTGAGAGCGGCCCACCGATCGCCCCCTGTGCTCCTCACCGTAGGCCTCAAATATTTTTATCAGAGACATGGAGTCAATTCTGTCACTCTCTCCTTTTACTCAGGTGACCCGTTGGTGGGAGATGCGTCGCAGTGAGGGCCTGTATATATCCCTCTGTGTGCTCTTCCTCGCCGTTTTAGTCAGCCTGCTCACCAGCCTCTTGTGGGCCTTCGAGGCCCCACAGGCGGGCGACCAAGATTATGAGCCGAGAGAGACAAACCTTCCTGCACCCGCAGTGCCACCAAACGCCACACAGACTCAGACAGCCACCGATGTGCCAGCTCCTTCCGTCTCGACAGCTGACGGCAGCAGCAGTCTTAGTGGCGACAATGCCATCGGTCCGCCGTGTGTGCGTGCCCTGCTGGTGTTTTGGGCGTTCGTGTGGCTGTGGGAGCTCTTCCTGTGTCCTGTGTTCAAAGCCTACATGATCTTGAATATATTGCGGGGGTGCAGGGGGGGCTGGGGGGAGATCGGCTTCCATGACCGGTAGCTGATGAGGCACCCTCATTGGATGAACTTTGGAGCTTTCAACCACAACGACAACTTCGCTGTGGCACAGGTGAGACACACACAAGATGGCCTCTCCTTACATGTCTCTGTCTGTGCTGTTTGACAGGCCGATGACATCATGTGGGCGCCGGCAAAGGGCATTCTCACCCAAGCCTTCCTCATCAAATACTCCCCCTCCCTCCGCACTCGCACAGAGAACCTCCTGGCCAACCTTCGCGAGCACAAGCGGAAGACCAAGAAGCGGAACCCTTATACGACCCACACGAGGCTGAGAGAAAGATCGAGCGCACCTTCTCGCCCCACCTGGCCATCTCCGCCTTCTACAAGGGTCAGATGAGGAAGCACGCCAGCAGCCGCAAGCTGCAGACGAGGCTCGGTCGCCACCCGCCGATAGCCACACGGGAGAGCATGATGAGGCGGCAGGAGGAGACGGGGCAGCCCGGCCGAGCACTCGACAAGATCCTCACCCACAGCCGGCAATATGAACGGGTGTCTAACGAGATATCGTGGCTGCAGGGGCCGGCCATCTCAGGACCTCCTGCGAAGGGCAAGGGCACGGGGGTCGACGGTCGTCAGGCGGCGACCAAGGCGGCACAGGCGCGTTTGGACGACTTGAAGAACTTTGCGCGAGAGAAGGCGAGGGAGGAGTGGGTGGCCAAGGCGGCTGAGAAGAAAAAGCGGGGCCTCAAGGACCTCATCAAGGCTGTCGAGGAGGGACGTATAGTCGTTAGGCCGTGACGGGGCAGACAGCCGGCTATTTGTGTGGTTTGTGTTTTGTGTTCTGTGTCTCTCTCGGCCTGCCTGTTCTCTCTGCGTCTCTGGGCTTTGCTGTGCTCTTTGCTATCTCTGATGAGCTGAAGGAGGGCGGCCAGCCACAAATGGACACACACCGTTCTGCCTTGGGCGTTGAGCACTGCGTCTGATATGATGGCCGGACGGGGAAAATGTCTCCGTCTCTCTGACTCTCTCTCTCTGTGTGTGTGTTTGTGTGTGTGTCTCACAGACACACCCACCCTACTCACATTTGAGCCTGTCCGATTGCTCGTTGGCTGCGTCTGTTCGTCTGTGCTGCTATGGGGCCAGGTATTGTGATTGGTACGCTTGGTGATTAGTCTTAAGTGCTGCATGGAGTGTGCCATATCTTGGCTGTTGCTGCGATTGATTGACCCCTCCCCGCAATTTTGTCCGCGAGTGACGACAGCTAGAGGGGCGGGAGGGAGGAGGGGGGGCCTTTATTAGCCGTGCGAGTGGGACGCACGGGCGTGTGTCCGTCTGTCCGTCCGTCTGTCTGTCTGTCTGTCTGTGTGAGTGCCCTGTGGTCTGTTCGGATGGACGGACGTTTATGTACATAAATACGGAGAGTAAGGGAAATTTGTCATCGTCACTGTCGCTGACCTACGGAGCACTCAAGTCAGTCTATGTGCGTCAGTGCTCAGACACACACACGGACACACACACATGGACACCCATGCAGCCATTAGCCTGCCCCAACTCATTAAAAGCACCAAGTTGAACCATATCAGGCGCCAGTCGGCACCTCTCACCCCACCACGGTCCCCCTGTCGATGACGTCACTCTCGAGACCTAATGGCCGCAGCAGACGGCGGGCGGCGCCAACCGACACGGGGAAGCGGTCGGCGAGCGGCTGAGACCGATCAGCCACGGGTGCCTCGGTCGTGAACAGATAGATGTAGCCACTTCCCAACCACAGGTGAGCAGCGATGGTCTCGTTGGGTCGCCAGCCGCTCACAATGACACTACGAAAAACAATCGGATTCGCATCATTCAGATTGCCCCCATCGTAGCGGAAGTCGGCGACGATGCCCAGACCCTCTGTGATGCTATCGGTCAGCAGCACACGGCCATACCGAGCATCATCACGGCCGATGACTGCACGCAGCACCTTCCTCTGGCCCGCTCCTTTACCATAGCACCACCTGACGAGTACCCTCTCCAGCAGGAATGTCGAGAATGAGGGGAAGAGGAGGGCCGGCCAGCGGATGACGGGGTCGGTCCGCTTGTAGCCCTCAGCATAGCCATGGCCGCCCGGCAGCTCACCCAACGGCACCACACGAAACGGCCAACCGCCGGCGATCCGATAGCGTCCGTTGTCGTCGATTTGCTGCAGCGCCAGGCTGTTCCCTGCGTCTGTGAGCCGGTGGCCGAACAGCCGATAGATTGCCGATGATCTTGTAGATGGCCATCGCCCATGGCAGCTGATGGAATGCCGTCCTGCTGGGAAGGTGGGCTGTCAGCCACTGAGCCGACAGCACCAGGGGCAGCCCATTGGCAGGCGTCAGCCGATAGATGGCGGCCAGCCGGATGAACCGCCGCATCCCAGGCCACTCGTTGCTGCCCTGCTCCAGCACATAGGCCGCCCGCAGCACATAGGTGAATGGGAGAGGGGCGGTGCGGTCGATGTCGATGAGGCCGGTGAGGGAGTGGCGGGCGAGGGAGCCGTCGATGCGCTCCACCAGCAGAGCGGCGGTCACCAGAGCCGCCTTCGGCCGGCAGGTCGCTCGGACACAGACCGCCTCATGGACGAGAAGGGACGGCAGAATGCGCCTCCGCCACAGGTCGTCGGGCACCAAATCAGACATCGCCACGACTCACTCAGTCAGCACATGGCAACCATCTGCCAGAGAGCACACAGAACACACACAAGGAAGCAAACAGCGAGTGCATTTTGAATCGGCTTGCGTGGTTCTTCTCTCACCCTTCATAAGTTGACCACGTGCAGTGCACGAGGCACAACGACGCCGGCCTGTCTGCTCACTCGCAAAGATCAAGATAAACAAGGCAGAAGGCGACTCAGTCCTGCCCAACCACACACAGAGACCACACAGGCTGTCATTGCTGATGTCATCAGACCCTCTTGGGTGCCCTCTCTCACCTCAATGCGTCAGATCAGCGTCCGTCAGAGAGATGACCGCCACATCTGTGGTGATCGATGTCATCACAGCGGCTCTTTGATCACCTCCCAGGCACTCCACGCCGCCCTGTCATCGCAAAAAAGGGGGAGAGATCTGCAAAGCAAGCTCGCAAAAAGCCCCATCAGTGGATTGGACGTTTTCGCTCTCAAGACACTCATTGGAGGTGAGAGGGCAGCGAGAGAGACAGATGAAGCATCGAAATGCTGCAAACCGATCCCTCTCCGTGTGTCTGTTGTGTGTGGCTGCAGATCTCTTGTGTGACGCCACGCTGAGACCTCAGGACACTCCCGATGCAGCCCACTGGTGCGGCGCCCTCGTCCCGTCCCGCCGGCCCTGCCCTCTTCCAGCCCGCCGACCTCTTTGACCTGTCATTGCCCATCAGCAAGATGGCCGCCATGGCCATGGCGACTGACTATGCCAGACGAGCCGCTCTCCGCTCGCAGCTCGCCACCCGCACTCGGCAACAGGAGCTGCTGGGCCACACTGCGGAGACCGTCAACAGCACCCTGCTCAACGCCGTCCAGCAGCACATCGACAAGGCCCTCAGTCAAAGAGGCCTGGCGGACGTGTTGGCCTTCGACATTGGCGGTGATGTGGAGGCCGGCTTGAAGGCGGTCTATGTGCTGGAGCGGGGCAGTGGCGAGGAGTGGCGGGCGATGGGGCGGTTCTTTTGGCTGGCCTTCATCTACCGGCTCACCCCTCTCAATGCGACTCGGCCTCTCCGTTTATCGGCCGACGCACTGCCCGCATCAACGGCCTTCCACCAGCTGCCCCTGACTATGGCCATCTACAAAATCATCGGCCACCTGCTCACATACAACACACACAGCCTGGCGCTGCAGCCAGCCGACAATGGGGCCTATCGGATTGGCAATGTGTGGACCTTTCGTGTGGTGTCATTGGGTGAGCTGCCGGGCGGCCATCCGTATGCCGAAGGCTACAAGCGGACCGACCCCGTCATCCGATGCGGCGGCAATCTCTTCGTCTCATTCTCGGCGTTCCTGATTGACTCGCTGCTCTTCTGGTGGTCGGATGAAGAGGGAGTGGATCACAGGCTGGTGCTTGAAGCACACATCGGCCGTGACGACCCACGCTATGGCCGCCTGCTGAGGACAGACAACATCACGGAGGATCAGGGCATCGCTGTCGGCTACCGCTACGACCGGGGCAGTCTGAATTTTGCTGATGCGGGGGACTGTCGTCGTGTGATTGTGAGCGGCTGGCGATTCGGCGAGACCGTCGCTACCCATCTGAGGGTCGGAAATGGCTACATCACTGTGTGGACGACCGAGCCATCTGCTGCTGATCGGACTCATCCGCTCTCCGACCGCTTCCCCGTGTCAATGCCCCTGTGGTGTGCTGTGCTGCGGCGATTCGATCTCGAGAGTGTCGTCATCGACAGGGGGAGGGTGATGGGCGCGGGGTGAGGAGTGCTGGCTGGCGATTGGGTGTTGGTGGCGGTGTTAGAGGGCGGGTGGAAGGGGACTGAGTGATTTGAAGTAGGTGCGATGAATGGGGGGACGGGCGGCCATCCCTACGCTGAGGGATATAAGCGGGCCGACCCCGCCATCCGACAGGGCGAATGGCTCAATCGCTCCTTCTCGGCCTTCCTGCTGGACAGGGTGCTCTTATGGTGGTCGGATGGAGAGGGAGTGGAGCAGAAGATGGTGCTGTGGGCCGACATCGGCCGTGGCGACGCTCGCTACGGCCGTCTGCTGAGAACAGACAACATCCCAGAGGATCAGGGCATCGCTGTCGACTACCGCTACGATCGGGGCAATATAGAAGACCATCGTGATGTCATTCTGATCGGATTCCGACTCAACGAGACCGTCGCTGCCCATCTGCGGGTGGGAGATGGCCTCGTCGAGCTGTACACGACCGAGCCATCTGCTGCCGATCGGCCTCATCCGCTCGCCGACCGCTACTCTGTGTCGGTTGGTGCCGCTCGCCGTCTGCTGTGGCCATTCGGTCTCGAAAGTGCCGTCATCGATAGGGGAGAGTGTTGGGATGAGGGGTGCCGGCTGGCGCCTGGTATGGTTGGTGCCTTTAATGAGTTAGGGCAGGGCCAATGGCTGCATGGGTGTCCATGTGTGTGTTTGTGTGTCCGGTGACTGACGCTGACGTGAGTACTCTGTATGTCAGCGAGAGTGCTTAGAACAAATTTTCCTTACTCTCCGTGTTTGTGTACACAGGCGTCCGTCCATCCGAACAGACCACAGGACACACAGACAGAGACAGACAGACAGACAGACAGACAGGCGGACAGGCACAGCTGATGTTCTAAAGCTCTCCCTCCTCCCTGCCCGTCAGGCTGTCGTCACTCGTGATACTCTCAGATAAGCTTGACAGTACAACAACAGGCGTGTGACAGTCTTGTCTTTGGGCATGTCTATGGTGATTGTTGGTGCTGACATTCTCATGGTGTGGACAGTCAGACCACGCCCACAGCCGCACTGTATACATGAGAGCCGAATTCGTCTATAGCTGGCATCAATCATGTGGGTCGTGCCTGTGAGTTCGCCGTACCCCCAGACGGTCCGTGATCAGGGCTGGAGAAACGAAATTTACGATTGAATCCCTCATCCACGCGTTCGTCCATAGCCACCCATCCACATCATGCACTCCCACAACACAATCAAGGTATGCAGCCATGCAATCTGCCCTTTGGGCACACACAACACGGACACACAGTGCACTCCCTCTCTGAGTCGCAATCACACGCACACACGTACTCAGCCGCAAGTGAAAAATCCCATAATGCCCAGCCAGTTGAGATCAGTTTGGGATAGTGACGACGACCAACAGACAGGCAGGCACGTCTCTCTTGATGTGTCGCGTCCCTCGACATCGGTGTGAGTCGAGCGCTGTGGCTGCTCTCGACTCACTTCGATGCCTTGTATTGTGACACATCATGGAGAAGTCATGCTCGCAGGCATATTTGCTCGATAGCCACGAAGCAGCACGAATGGAACCCCTCGTCCTTTCCGTTGTGGTGTCCCCCGTATATACTTACTGTACAACAGCCATGCCATACATCGATCGACACAGAGAGGTGAGTGAGTGGGGGTGGGGTGGTGAACATTCACAGTGCCCACACACAGTCAGTCAGATAGAGCGTCACGAGGAGGCTTTCCCTCTCTCTCCCGTGTCCCTAGGGGTCCGTTGTCCTCTCATGGCTCAGACGCCACCGACAGACGCCTTCCCTGCCTGCTGTCAGTCACAGGCACGACAACCGTCTGAGGGAAGCACAAAAGCACCGAGAGAACACCAGACACCCACCGCCCGCCCGCAGGACCGTAATCGTGAATGCAGCAGTCAGCCAATCGTCAAGAGGCTTGTCACAATTCTCTCTCACGTGTGAACATCAGACCCGACCCACCCAACGGACAGTAGGTAATAGATAATATACATGGCAGGGCAGCAGTCAGCATCACCAATAGCGGAAAACCCGTGCCGGCAACGAGCCAGACGGGCAGGCAGGGACGCAGCAGCAGCATTAATCACGCCATCCTCCCCGCCCCACTTTTGTCTCGATTAGCCCAGCTCGCTACAGAGAGGACCCGAGCCATGTTTCCCCCAATCAGTGCATCCATCCATCCATCCGCGTACAGACGAGCTGGGACAGAAAAATGGCAGCCCAGTCAACGAAACGAATCACAACACAACACACGCACAACACGGGCACAGAAAGAGAGACGGAGAGATGGAGAGACGACAGTAAGAGACACCATCCAAGCAAGCAGGCGGACAAGCCAATCAAGCCAATCAAGCCATGAGGACGACAGAAAAACGGCAATGTCCCAGCTGTCACGTCACACACGGCACAGATGTCGCGAGTGCTACGCAGCGACCGATTGGTTCGCTTCGTTCGGCAGAGAACGACTATTCTTGTCAGCCTGAGGCCGCAGTGGCATGGACGACAGACGGCGTGGGCAGCCTGACGGGCACCAGCGACGACGGGGCGTGGGAGGGGCGGCCACAGGGGTGGTGCTCGCCCACCAGCCGCAGCAGCGTGCCCTTGATGGATGGCGACGTGGGGGGTGCTGGCTTGTGCGTGGCCCGGCGGCTGTGGAAGCCCCAGGGCGCCTCGCCCGTCCACCAGAGGCCCCCGGTGCTGTCTAGGAACAAACTGAACGCCTGGCCCCCCGCACTTTCCACCACACGCACCTGAGACAAGCACACAGAGACATGACAATTCTCCTGTCTGTCCGTCCGTCCGTCCGTCTGTCTGTTGTGTGCCAAGTCACTGACCCCTTTGGCGAGAAATCGTGCGACGAGTGTCGGAAGGTATCGCTGATACGGGTCACCCAGCCCCAGAGCGCCATCATTGGCCCCGCAGCCGTAGACCTTGCCGTCGTCAGTGGTCAGCAGGGTGTGGCAGGCGCCGCACGACACCCGCGAGAAGACCATTCGTCGTGACGCCTCGATGAGCGAAGGGGAGGGGGGCGTGCTCGGGGGGTTGGCAGGGCCGCCGGTGTGTGAGGGGGGTGAGGTGGCGCGGCTGTCCTTGACGTAGTCGATGCGCGTGGGGACGGGCTCGTACTCGTCCACGGGAAATCGGTGTCCGAGCTGGCCTCTGTCGCCAGAGCCCCAGGTGAAGGCCGCACCGGTGGCCGTCAGGGCGGCTGCATGCGCCGCACCGGCTGCCAAGGCAACCACCTAAACCACATCGACACACAAACATACAAGTGCACACACTCGAGAAGAATCAGTGGTGACCTTGGCCAAGCTGACCCACCTTCTCATTGTTGAAGAGCTTGGGTTCGATTCGTGTGGCCTCGAGGAACTCGCCGACGCCCTTCCTCTGCCTTTGCCTGACGTCGCCCCTCCCCAGCTGGCCCCTGCTGTCGCAGCCGACGCCATACACGTGGCCTGTGTCCGTCAGGGCCAGCGTGAAGTGGGTGGGGGTGGATGAGGGGGATGGGGGGCCGCTGCCGGTCGCCCTGCCGCCGCCCACGGCCACGTGTGTGACGCGCTGCTTGTCGAGGCCGTGCACGCGCTCGGGGATCATGGGGGCCGACCAGCTGGATGGTGCAGAGGGAGAGAACTGCTGATGTCGCTGGTCGCCAAGTAGCCACAACTCACCTGTGTACCATGCAGCAATTGAGGTGACACACACGTATTATGCATGTGAAGTGATGGAGGGACGGACAACCGTAGGTGCGGCGTAGCGTACCTTGGCCAGTGACGAAGGCCATGTGGTCGCAGGTGCTCGCGACGACGCGGACCATGCTCCGCAGACACGGCAGCCGCGGCAGCTGCGCCACCCGATGATGCTGCATCATCGCACCAAACCCCACCTGCACCTGCCCAGTCCGTGCAGGGGGGGTGGCGGGGGCCCTGTCACTGTCGCCCCTGTCGTCCATGCCACTCTCCTGCTGCTGCTGCGAGACGGTGGGCGTTGACCGAGAGGGGTACAGCGAGGCCATACCCGCCGCTCGGCAGGGGCAGTGCCGCCTGCACTTGTGGGGGGTCTTGCTCTTGGCAGGGGCCTTGCTGGGCAGCGGGGCCGGTATGGCGCCAGGCGTCGCCAACGCCCCGCTCCTGCCGGCTGATGGCGGGAGATTGAAGAGGGGGAGGGAGAGCGGCAGCAGCAGAGGGGGGAAGCAGAGGTACACCAGGCCGTCCCGCGTGACGCAGGTCCATGTGCCGAGGTGCGCCATCTCCCTGCTCGGCGGCAGACACGCCGTGATGTCTCTCGGCCAGCCGATGGGCATCTGCACGTCGCTGTCGTGATGGTGGGAGGCCGATGGGCGTCTGTGCGCGCGGGGGAGGGGGGGCGCGATGGCCGTGTCGAGTATCGGGTCCAGCCATTGGGGCAGGGAAGGCGTGTGACCACACACAACCACCCTGCAATTAGCCAACCGAACCCCAGAAACCAGTGGCACACATGAGCACAATGGATGCTAGGTAGCTTGCTGACCTGCCGTTGGCCTTTTGACAGACGGCGATGAGTCCATTGGCGCTGAGCGAGCCGTTCGGCCCCGCACGCGGCTGCCGCGTCTCCCAGAAGTGGACGGCCTTGACGTCCGCCCCAGCCTCACGCAAACTCAGCGCCGCGACCCTCTTGTCCAGCACCCTCTTGCCCCTCGCCCTCAGCCCACCAGAAGCCGCCTGGAGGATGCAGATGTCCCTCGCACCCAGGCTGATCAACACCAACTCCTCTATCTCGTCGGGGAGGGCGGACCACACGACGGGCTTGCCACTGAGGGATGGGTGGTGCACCAGGTCGTCGTGGGTGGCCGTCCTTTGCCTGCCGAGCGGGATGGCGCGCAGGAGGCAGAAGGACGAGGACCGCCGCTTTGGGGAGGGTGGACCGTCGGCGTGTGACGAGTGCTTGCGGCCAGTGCTGGTCCGAGGCGCCATCCTTGTGCTGCTGGGGTCCTCCTCCTACGGGATTCACCCTCGTCAGCGCGTGGTTTCGTGCTGCGCGCTCGAACAAAATGGCGAGCTTGAATGGGACGCGATAAAAGCGAAGGCAGATGAGGGTCAAACATATAAGAATCAGTGGGCAGCCGACAACTGCTGCAGCGTGAGCTTCCGGCTTTGCGAGATCTGGACGAGTGAATGAGTGCCGATGACTGATCCCATCTGTATGCCCCTACCGACGACGCTCTTCATCCTTGCGGTGTGGCAGTGCATCGCGGCGTCAAATGCATTCATCGTCAGCCCCCCTCCCTCCCCATCCCACCGGCCTCTGTTCTCTCTACCGACGGTTCCGAGGATGTCAGCTCAGCCGGCGACGGAGACCAGGCCCTCATCGTCAGCTGCTGCCACAGTGGCGCCAGGAGGCCGCGGCGGCCTGCGGGATGAGTTGCTGCTGCTGCTGAAACAGTCGAGCGGGCTTGCACTGGAAGAGGGTGTGGATCTCGGTGAGCAGACGTGGTGGGAGGGTGGAGAGCCAGCGTCCCATTCCATGTGTTCATTCGCTCGTTGTGTTGTGCTGTGTTGTGTCAGCTGTGTTTGAGGAGGTCCTGGCCGAGCTCGATGACCCCAACATGCCACCCGTCAAGACGGACACCAGCGGTATGCCCCCAACACACAAAGCATACACCATTCAATGGCTCCCTTTCTCTCTCTCTCTCTCAGAGCCAGCTCTGCCACCCTCTCTGAGCCGCCTGCTCGAGCCCTCCCCCTCTCCCCCAGCCGCCCCTTCCCGGCCGTTCACCGACCCCCGTGAGCAGCAGATCTCGTCGCTCAAGTCGGAGATCGCCCTCAGGAAGCGGCAGATATTCGACCGCTACTTCAGAAACATCAAGGTCAAGCAGCGGCAGGAGGTGGCGACCGGTGCGGGGGGCCTAAGGGAAGTGTCGAGGCCGTCGGCTGTCGCGCCAAATGTGTCCTCTCTGCCTGTGGAAGCGGTGAGTGAGTGTATCCAGCCATCAATGGCGAAAAGCAGGCAGCCACATTTCTATGTGTTGTGCAGCTGTCGGGTTTCTCTCGGTATCCTGAGGTGGTGGAGTCGCTTCAGAAGGACTACGCCCAGCTGACGACACTGCAGCAGAGGCTGCGGAAGCTGCAGACACAGATGCACGACCTCAACATACAGCCAACGGCACCTTCACCGCCACACACACCTGTCAGCAGCAGCAGCAGCAGCAGCAGCAGCGAAGAGGCGTGGCGGATGGTGCAGCCACTGGGGGATGGCGCAGCAGCTACGAAGACGGCGAGCGACGCTCAGGTATGTGTGTGGCCTGGTGGGCTGAGGTGCCGTCCGTGATGTGTGTGTGTGGCTGTTGGTTGGTTCATGCCAGCAGGTGTCTGGAGGGAGGGACGCCAGGTCTCGCAAACGTGCGTATGTGCGCCGGGCGCTGCTGCAGTTCACCAAGGAGCAGCGGGACATCATCAGGGAACTCATTCAACAGGTGCGTATGTCGGTGTGAATGCAATGCTGCCATGGGTGATCGGAACACCCATGGCTGGGTCCTGGGTCGTGTGTGTGTGTGTGTGTGTGTGGGGCAGACTCAGCAGCTGGATGAGGTGGCCCCTCCACACCTGGTAGCCAACCAACCAACCAGAAAAATTCCAGACCAGCCCCACAAATGTGGAGAATCTTCGCGTGTCTGTCTGTCTGTGTGTCTTTGGCTCAGCTGACGTGGCTGAGGGAGCGGGAGTCTCGAAACCAGCCGACTGACCTCCAGTACTGGCCTCAGAAAGTCAGGTACATAGACATACACACACACATGCACACGACCCTCTCTAGCACCACCATGGCCATGGATGACCTCGTGATACGAATGGCTGTGTTGTGTGTTAACAACTCCCTTTGTTTGTTTGCAGGGTTGAGGCGCGTGATTTCGGTCTGAAGCTGCAGCTGTGGAGCTGCCAGAGGTTCTTCCCAAAGCGCCTGCAGTTCCTGCTCGCCTCAGGATGCACCTTCGCCGCGGTCAGTCAGTGAATGAAGCACTCACTGAAGTGAGGGAGGCACTCTCTTAGTGACCCACACACGCAGCGCAGCCCTGTGCGCATCCATCCATCCATCCGTTGATCGATCAACAGGTGTACAACGGCATTCGGTTCTTGATGGCCGTCCCCGGCACACAGGCGTATGACGCCAAGCTGCAACAGACCGTCACGCCGGTGGGCAGGGGACGGCACCACCACACCATAGACAGACAGAAGGGTGCGGTGTGTTGAGTGAGGTGTGGTTCAGTTGCTGCTGGCGGTGCTGCTGTGGGAGTGGTATCTTGACTTCACTGCCAGTATCGTCAACCCTAATCAGGTACACACTAGGTGGATAATAAGAGGTCCGTTCGTTGGATTGGATCGATGGATGACGGGCGGGCCACTTCTTTGGCCGGCTGTTTGTTCAATGTGTGTGTGTGTGCAGGATCAGGTGGTTGAGATTGACCCGATGAAGCAGAGGGGAACTGAGAGCCGATAGACAGACAGCTACATGTAAAGGATGAGTGTCCAGTGTTCTCTCTCTCTCTGCATGGCCTGACTGACAATGAGAGAATGAAGTGTGTGACGGGCACCTGGTGCACTCACTGCGATGCCCTTCCATTCATCCTTCCACCCTTGTTCCATTCAATGCTTCGCACACTGCAAAGAAAGACATAATCAGCACACACAATCACCACACACATGCCCAAAGACAGGCCTGCTTCTATACTGTCAAGCTCATGTGAAATCGTCACGACTGACGACAGCTTGACGGGCGGGGAGCAGAGCTTTGAACATTACCTGTCCGTCCGTCCGTCTGTCTGTCTCTGTCTGTCTGTGTGTGTGCCCTGTGGTCTGTTCGGATGGACGGACGGCTGTGTACATAAAATACGGAGATTAAGGGAAATTTGTCATCAGTCAGTCTCGCTAACATACGGAGCACTCACGTCAGGCAATGCGTCAAGCCACCGGACACAGACACACCCACATGTGGACAACCCTGCAGCCATTAGCCCCTCCCCCCGCGGCCCCCCCAACTCATTAAACGCACCAGCCAAATCAGGCACCAGCCGGCCGGCACCCCTCATGGCACCACCCGCCCCCTGTTGATGACATCGTTGTCAAGCCCGCATCCCAGCAGCACACTGCGCCACAAGGGCAATGAAGTGGGGAAGCGGACAGCGAGCGGCTGAAGTCGATGGGCAGCAGATGGCTCGGTCGTGTACAGCCTGATTCCGCCCCACGCCACCCACAGGTGCGCAGCGACGGTCTCGTTTTCGCGGCAGCCGCTCACAATCACATTCCGAAAGTCAATCGAATCAGCAACATTGAGATTGCCCGCATCATTGCGATAATCGATAGCGATGCCCTGATCCTCTGTGATGTTGTCGGTCCTCAACAGTCGGTGATAGCGAGGGTCGCGGCAGCCGATGTTGGCCGACAGCACCATCCTCTGACCCACCCCCTCTTCACGGTCCCACCACCAGAGCAGCGCGTCCATCAGGAATGCCGAGAATGAGCGATAGAGATAGGGGCCCCATCGGATGACGGGATCGGTCCGCTTGTAGCCCTCAGCATAGCGATGGCCGCCCGGCAGCTCACCCAAAGGCACCACACGAAATGGACCAGAATTGCCGATCCGATAGAGTCCGTTGTCGTCGACTTGCTGCAGCTCCAGTGTGGGCCATCTGAGCGTAAGCTGACGGCCCATGATTTTGTAGATGGCCATGGTGAGTGGCAGCTGGTGGAAGGCCGTTGCTGTGGGCAGTGCGTCGGCCGACAGACGGAGAGGCCGAGTCGCATCAGCAGGCGTCAGCCGGTAGATGAAGGCCAGCCGAGGGAGCCGCCCCATCGCCCGCCACTCCTCGCCATTGCCCCGCTCCAGCACATAGACCACCCTCAAGCCGGCCTCCACATTACCGCCAATGTCGAAGGCCAAGACGTCCGCCACACCTCTTTGACTGAGGGCCTTGTGGATGTGCTGCTGGACGGCGTTGAGCAGGGTGCTGTTGACGGTCTCCGCAGTGTGGCCCAGCAGCTCCTGTTGCCGAGTGCGGGTGGCGAGCTGCGAGCGGAGAGCGGCTCGTTTGGCATCGTCAGTCGCCATGGCCATGGCGGCCATCTTGCTGATGGGCAATGACAGGTCAAAGAGGTCGGCGGGCTGGAAGAGGGCAGGGCTGGGGGGACGGGACGAGGGGTGGGCTGCACCAGTGGGCTGCATCGGGAGTGTCCTGAGGCCTGAGCGAGGAATCACACAACAGATCTGCAGCCACGCAACAGACACACGAAGAGGGATCGGTTTGCGGCACTCCGATGCTTCATCTGTCTCTGTTGCTGCCCTCTCACCTCCGATGAGTCCCTTGAGAGGGTCCGAAACCGTGCTTTGCGAGCTTGGCGTGCAGATCGTTTGCCTTTCCTTTTTGCACGGGCGGCGTGGAGTGCCTGGGAGGTGATCAAAGAGCTGCTGTGATGACATCGATCAACACAGATGTCGCCGTCATCTCTCTGACCGGCGCTGATCTGACGCATTGAGGTGAGCGAGGGCACCCAGGAGGGCCTTATGACATCAGCAATGACAGCCTGTGTGGTCTCTGTGTGTGATTGTGGCAGGTCTGAGTCGCCGTCTGCCTTGTTCATCTTGATCTTCCCGAGTGAGCAGACAGAGGCTTCATGATCACACAGGCCGGCGTCGTTGTGCCTCCTGCACTGCACGTGGTCAACTTGTGAAGGGTGAGAGAAGAACCACGCAAGCCGATTCGAAATGCACTCTATTTCTGCTTCCATGTGTGTGTCCTGTGTGCTGTCAGGAAGGTTGTTGTCATGCGCTCACTGACTGAGTCGTGACGATGTCTGATTTGGTGCCCGACGACCTGTGGCGGAGGCGCATTCTGCCGTCCCTTCTCGTCCATGAGGCGGTCTGTGTCCGAGCGACCTGCCGGGTGAAGGCGGCTCTGGTGACCGCCGCTCTGCTGGTGGAGCGCATCGTCGGCTCCCTCGCCCGCCACTCTCTCACCGGCCTCATCGACATCGACCGCACCGCCCCTCTCCCATTCAGCTGTGTGCTGCGGGCGGCCTATGTGCTGGAGCAGGGCAGCAACGAGTGGCCTGGGATGGGGCGGTTCATCCGGCTGGCCGCCATCTATCGGCTGACGCCTGCCAATGGGCTGCCCCTGGTGCTGTCGGCTCAGTGGCTGACAGCCCACCTTCCCAGCAGGACGGCATTCCACCAGCTGCCATTGGCGATGGCAATCTATCGGCTGTTCGGCCACCTGCTCACACACAGAAGGACCAGCCTGGCGCTGCAGCAAGCCGATGACAACGGACTCTATTGGATCGGCAATTCTGGTCCGTTTCGTGTGGTGTCTCTTGGTGAGCTGCCGGGCGGGCATCCTTATGCTGAGGGCTACAAGCGGACCGACCCCGTCATCCGCTGCGGCCTCAATCTCTTTCCCTTCTTCTCGGCATTCCTGCTGCACAGGCGACTCCTCTGGTGGCCCGATGGAGAGGGAATGGGCCGCAGGATGGTGCTGCGTGCAGACATCGGCCGCGGTGACCCTCGCTATGGCCGTGTGCTGCTGACCGATAGCATCACAGAGGGTCTGGGCATCGTCGCCGACTTCCGCTACGATGGGGGCAATCTGAATGATGCGAATCCGATTGTTTTTCGTAGTGTCATTGTGAGCGGCTGGCGATCCAACGAGACCATCGCTGCTCACCTGTGGTTGGGAAGTATTTGTTCACGACCGAGGCACCTATAGCTGATGGATCTCATCCGCTCGCCGACCGCTACACTGTGTCGGTTGGTGCCGCCCGCCGTGCGCTTCGGCCATTCGGTCTCGAGAGTGACGTCATTGAAAGGGGGACGGTGCTGCAGTGAGGGGTGGTGACTTGATAGGTGTTCCGGCATGTCGACCGACCAGAGCTTTCAAAGGTGTGACGTGCCTGTTTCTTGATAAGAGTCGGCTCTGCTTCGCATCGGATGTCTCACTGGTTGTTATGGGACTCTGTTGACTGCACATTAGTGAGTGAATGAATGGATTATGGTGCCAATCGCCCTCGACTCGTCTGATTGCCACATCGATCACCCAACGTCCTCGACCGTCACCCTCCCTTTCTCCCTTCCTCCCTCACCCCTTAGGCTGCCCAAACCCCCCGCCGCCTCGCCGCCTCCTCGTGTTTGGCCGCCCCGTTCGCGACACATCCTCGATGCGCCGCGAGTAGTCCACAAGCATCGCCTTGCGTTGCGATTTCGTCAGCCGCGGACCGCCAAACCTGTTAATGGCCCAGCCACAGCCATGACAACACACAGGCACTTGTATTGTGTGGAGATGCTCTGTGTGTGTGGTGTTGGGAGAGATCCCTTGACGCACGGACCAGTTCTTGGTGGGGACCTCCACTTTCTGCCCGAAGGCGATGATCTCATCCGTCAGCAGATTGACGGGGTGGCCCGGCTCACGTACTGCACACACAACACAGACACCGACCATGCACACAAACAGATCGATGAAGCGCGCGTGCGCGTGTGGGCGGGTGAATGTACCTGTCTGTCCGTTGACGGTGACCCCTCCGGCCTGCAGGATGAAACGGCAGTCCTCACGGGACGCCACGCGACACCACGATAGAGCCGACAGCAGCCGCCGGGGCATCTCACCCCCGCCCGGCCCCGACTCCTCGTCGCCATCCATCCTCGCAAACTCGTCTTCATTGACTACACACACCCATACACAGACAGAGAGATGTCCACAGCTCATTGTGTCCTCCCCTCGCTCCCTCACTCCCTCTCTCGCCCACGCACTCATGTATTCTCTCAGCTCGTCGTCGCTCATCGTCCGTTTCTTGCCATCCTCCATTTCCCACAGCCGTCTGTTCCTGAGCTTGGGGGCGGCGATCCTGGCGGCCTCGGCCACGGAGGTGCCTGCTCGTTTCTCAAGCAAGCTGACCTCTCGCTGCAGCCGCACACGCATCCGTGTCGTCAGGCGGATCTGGGTCACCAGCTCCAGCCGTCGACCGGCCTTGCGCCGCTGATGGATGGCAAGAAAGGGAGAGACACACGGGTGGATGGATGGATGGAAGTGTGTGTGTCGGGTAGAGGGGTAGTACCTGGTCGACGTTGAGCTCTGCACCTGACTCGGCGGCCTTTTCCAGGTCGACAATCTGACACACACGGGAGGGCACAACACAACACCTGCACACGAGCATCTCTTGTTCCAGAGGCCTGCAGAGACCGGCGTACCTCCCTGAGTTTCTTGTTGAGTGTGCCTAGCCGCCGTGACAGCTGCCGGATCTCCTTCTTGCACTCGACGATCCGACGCTCCACCTCACCCTCATCAGCATCAGCATCACCCGCCTCGCGCTCGCGCTCGGCCTTTCTGCCCTTGTTCAGTCGGTACGCGATGCCCTCAATCCGCTCATCGCCCTCACCATCGACGTCATCAACCATCGTCTCCACTTCACGGAGGGGTGGCTTGGCTGAGGGTGAGGCTTTCTGTGACTGCCGCTGTTGCCCGCTCTCGGCAAGGAGGAAAGCCAGAATGGCCTCCTCCTCGGCCGAGCTGTAGGCGTCGTCTGCTGCTGGGGCGGGAGCAGGGGCCCCGAGAGTGTCATTGTCGACGCCGAAGACCTCTTTCTTCATGGCACTGAAGACCGCCAGCTCCGCCGACCCATCGTCGTCTTGGCTCTCGCCCTCTAGCCCACTGCGGATCAGCTCATCGTCCTTCATGGCCTCCAGGGCCTCCAAAGAGTCGATGCCCAGAGCGGCGAGGAAGCTCGTGTCCATCTCTTCTTGCCCATCAGGGGCCGCTGATTTGCCGCCGGCCACAGTCTGCCGCAGCTGCCTGACAAACATGGCGTTGCGCTCGTCCTCGGAGATCTCCGTTTCCTCTGGGGGCAGCTTCTCGCCCGTCAGTGACTCCAGCAGCGCAAGGTCGCTGTCGACTGAGGCTGCTGCTGCTGGTGCTGCTGGTGGTGGGCGGCTTTGGTGCTGTCTGATAGCCTTCAGACGCTGTTCCTGCTCATCGGAGAACTGACAGACACACAGAAGAGCCAGAAATGCGGTGTGTGCGTGTGTGTGTGTGTGTGTGTCTTTGTGTGGTCGACCAGTGGCAAGGCACCTTTTGTTCGAACGCGTTGAGCCGTTGCTCCGCCTCTATCAGTTCCTCATCGTCGATCTCCGCATCGCTCAACGCGCCCTCATCTGACAGCAAGCCAAGCAACCAGCAGGCATGACGCGCCCACTCGCCTCACCCACCCCACCCCACCCCACCACCACAAGCCCACCGACCGATGTCGTCAGGCAGGAAGTCATCACCGCCAGCAGCAGCATCCCTCTCATCCCTTTGGTCAGCTCGCGCCAGCCCCCTGGGTCGGCTGTCGGCCGGCGCCTCCTTCTGCAGTGCCTCAGTGAGCCTGGCCGTGAGCTGCCTCCTGGTGCCAGCGGCAGAGAGGCCTCGCCTCTGCAGCTGAGAGCGGAGGGACGGCAAGGGCAGCTCCTCGAGATACAGCGGGACGTCACCTTGACCATGATCTGCAGCAAACGGCACACACAATTGGAGAATCAGGTGGTGAGATGAGAAGTGCCGATCCATCCATCCATCCATCTCGCGCCCACCTGATTCATCATCCTCTTCGTCAGCGCGAGATGGCCTCTGTTGTCTGCCCGTCCTTGCATCTCCTGAGCGCCGCGTTGAGGCGGGCGGATCTGCGACAGAGCTGAGGCGAGATCTTCTGCTGTGCCGACATCTGCGGAACGGCGGCATGGTCAGGGCGAATGCCGGCGGGACGCACGCCGTTGCCTGCGATGCGAAGGACAGATGAGCATGAGAAATGAGAGCTTGGGATCCATGAGAGGGGTAAGAGGACGCCACCGTGCCAAGCATCAACGCCTGCAGCTTCATCTTCATCTTCAACGCCGTTCGCCAATCAGTGCGAGCTCAGCTTGCGGGAGATCTGCGTTGCAGGTGAGAATAGGGATACGGCAGGACCAAGGCAGTGCTCGTCGTGCAGTTCCTGCCACACCACGTCGGCTGGCGGTGCAGCGCGGATCTCCCCTTAAGGCGACCTCACTCCCACCCACCCACGACCTTCAACGTGCGCTCTCTCCGGTACGCACAGTCCGCGCGAGCCACTTGCCGCAGCGAGTGATGCAGGGGTGACGGAATACACACGCATTAGCGAGGGATAGCGTCATCCTTTGGTTGGTTGGTTGGTCGCTCCGTCCGCCGTACTGGCCGGCAAGTGGACCTCCCGTCCCTTCCTTGCCCATCGACGACAGACACGTGTGTGTATAGGATGCTGCCGTCCTCTGCGCAGCAACCCCCTCCCACGACACAAGCTACACAGGTGAGAACAGATGGACACACACACACACACAGGCAGGGTACACGTTGCTCTCTTTCTGATGTCACGGCCATCCCTCGTGTGTGTCTATCGTGCGCCTGTGCGTGTGTGTCAGTACGTCCACGCCGAGAAGAACGGGAAGCACTTCCAGCTGCCGTGCGACGCCTGGGGCCGCATCATCAACTGGCTCGACAGCAGCTCCGCCGCATCCACGGCCGAGCTCAAGGAGTGCAACCGAATCGAAGCCGTCCCCTACTCGCCGCCCTTTTCTGGTACGCACAAACAGGGAGGGAGGGACACACAGAGGGAGGGAGAGGGAGAGACGTCTCTGACTCTGTATGTGTGTGTATATGTGTGTGTGTGTGTGCAGGTATGGTGACAGCGATCGAGGTGCACCACAACGCGGAGAAGGAGCGTGTGGGCGGCGGCAAGCACCTCAGCAACAAGGCCTGGGGGCACGTCAAGCGCCACCTCGAGAGCAACCGGCGAGCCTTCCTCATACCTGACGGCGTCTCGTTCAAGCTCAGGAAGTACCCACCGCAGTCAGCCGAGGTCAGTCAGCACTGAGGAGAGGAGATCCCACACACATAGAATGACTCTGTGCACATCTCTCTCCCTCCCTCCCTCCCTCCCTCTCTCTCTGCCTTTATGGTGCCAGGCTGACGATGCCGACGGTGGCCACTGCGCGAGCGAGGCGGACACTGTCACGCAGTCGACACTCACATCAGCCTGGCCGCCCCCGCCCCCCTCCTTCGTCGACAGGAACGAAACGGCCACCCT